AGAATCTAAAATGTTTCAAGAATATTGAAAAAGAGCAAAGAAATTAGAGTAAAAAAAATGAAAGTATGTTATCACAGAAGCCAAAGACTCAAAAAGGAGAGAATAGTTAACTGTGGCATGCTATAGCAAGATCATGTAAGATAAAGACTGATGGATCTATTAGTAAAATAGACATTATTGGTGACTTTAGTTCTCATAGAGTTTTTTTTAAAGAAAGGTTATAGTCAAATAATGCATGGTAATTTACTTCTTAATATATTTATTTAAGAATTTACATACAGTAAAATTCACTTTTTCATGTATGGTTCTGAGGTTAGACAAATGAATAGAGTTGTATAAACACCACCAAAATCAAGATACAGAATAGGCCTATCACCCCCCAAAATTCCTATTGCTGCTTCTTTTTAATACACTCAGTGTTTTCAAGATTTCCCCCATTTTTGGTTTAAAATAATTTAAGATATGTCTTAGGGTGGCTTTATTTAAAAGTTTATCCTTTTGGGTGTTCATTGAGCTTCTTGAATCTAAATTGATATCTTTTACCAAATTCTGGAAATTCTCAGCTATTTTTTTTTTTCAAAACAGCTTTATTGAAATGTAATTCACATACCATGCAATTCATCCATTTAAAATGCACAGCCTAGTAGTGATGTCAGAAGTATGGTGGCATGTTGGCGGGGAGTGTCTCCTTGATTTCTCCCCTTGAAATTACAACAAATTGAACGGCTGCAATCTAACAGAAGACACCCAGCCTAACAAACATGTCTGAGAGATCTGCACATTAGATCATCTGAAGGTGAGAGAATCGGGCGAACAAGGGAGGAGGAAAGGGAAAAGAGGAGAGATGGGTGACTTAGATGCAGCCCAGAGCACCCTGCAGGACTCAGGAAGAGGGATAGGAATCAGGTTGAGGCGTGCACTCTCTGTAGCCCCGAGAATTCCTGCCTGAGTGATCAACATGTACTATGACAGTGAAACCAGTGATCAGGGCAGAGATGAGGGCAAAGATGAAATACAAAGGTGCAACAGCTATGTTCTATTGCCAGACACAAGGCTGAGTCACAGAACCTGGCCTCTTATCCCCAACCTCTCAGAGCTCGCCTCCCTGCATCCTCCTGGAGCTAGCAGTGGGCCCTGGGGGAAACTACAGCAGTGACAGTCCATCTACAGAGCAGGAAGTCTGTAACAACTGAGGAAATGCACATGGCGGCTGATCCCAATGATGGGGGTGGAGATACAGAGGCCAGAAATAGAACAAAAAGTCATCAGATTTGTATGGAAACACAAAAGACTCTGAACAGCCAAAGCAATCCTGAGAAAAAAGAATAAGGCCAGAGGTATCACTCTGCCTGTCTTCAAATTATACTATAAAGTAACAATAATCAAAACAGCATAGTATTAACAGAAAAACAGACAGATATACCAATGGAACAGAATTGAGAGTACGGAAATAAACCCTTGTATATATGGGCAAATTTTTTTCAAGAAAAGAGGCAAAAACATACAATGGAGGAAGGAAAGCCTCTTCAGCAAATGGTCCTGGGAAAACTGGAAAGCCACCTGCAAAACAATAAAACTAGACTGCTACCTACCACCATACACTAAAATTAACTCAAAATGGATCACAGACCTGAATATAAGACCTGAAACAATATGTTGCATAAAAGAAATCATAAGTACTAAAATTATAGACCTTGGAATTAGAGAGGATTTTATGAATTTCACTTCAAAGCAAGGGAAGTCAAAGCAAAAATAAATGAATGTGGCTACATCAAAAATAAATGAATGGGGCTACATCAAACTAAAAAGCTTCTGCACAGCATAAGAAACCACCAACGAGACTAAGAGGCAACCACCTGGGTAAGAGAAAATATTTGCAAACAATGCCCCTGATAAGGAGCTAATATCCAAAAAGTACAAAGAACTCATACAACTCAACAATAAAAAAAAAAAAGAAACAAACAGTCCGATTAAAAAATGTACAGAAGACCTGAACAGACACTTCTCCCAAGAAGACATACAAATGGCCAACAAACATATGAAAGGATGTTCAACATCACTAGCTATTAAGGAAATGCAAATCAAAACCACAATGAGATACCACCTCACACCTCCTAGAATGGTTATTATCAACAGGACAGGTAATAACGAATATTGGAGAGATTGTTGGGGAAAGGAACCCTTATACACTGCTGGTGGGAATGTAAATTGGTGCAGCCACTGTGGAAAATAGTATGGCAGCTCTTCAAACAAAACAAAACAAAACAAAACAAAACAAAACACAAACTAAGAATAGAATTACCATAAGACCCAGCAATCCCTCTTCTGGTAACTACCCCGCAAAACTTGAAAACATCCACAAAGATATATGCACCTCAGTGTTCATTGCAGCATTATTCACGGTGACCAAGTCATGGAAACAACTGAAGTGTCCTTCAATAGATGATTGGATAAAGAAAATGTGGTACATATCTACAATGAAATATTAGCCATAGGAAAAGATGAAATACTGACATTTGCAAAAACATGGATGGATCTTGAGATTATCATGCTAAGCAAAATAAATCAGACTGAAAAAGTTGAGAACCATATGATTTTACTCACATGTGAGATAAAAAACTGAAAGCAGCAAACAAACAGGACAAACAAACAGAGACTCGTGGACACAGACAACCTTTTAGTGGTTACCAGAGAGAAGAAGTGGAGAGGGATGGTAGATAAGGGTAAAGGAGGTTGAATATGTGGCGATGGAAGGAAATTTAACTTTAGGTGGTGAACACACAGTGCAGTATATATATGGCGTATTATTGAATTGTACACTTGAAATCTATATAATTTTATTAGCCAGTGTCATCCTAATAAATTTAATAAAAAATGAAATGTACAGCATAATTGTTTTTAGTATAGTGACAGATATGTACAGCCATCACTACAGTCAATTTTAATACTTATTTTTTAAACTTATTTTAAAGAACTTATTTTTTATCTAAGATAAACTTTTTACCTTTGACTATCACTCCTACTCCCCATTCCCAGACCTAAGCAATCAGCAATTTACTTTCTGCCTCTATAGATTTTCCTGTTCTCGACATTTTATATAAATGGAATTACCATTATTTAAAAATTTTCTGTATCACTCTCTTCATTTTCTGGAATGTTACTGATATGGATTTTAGATCTTTTGATATTGTTCCACATTTCTCTAAGGCTATGTTCATTTTTTTAATAGTTTTTCACTGTCTTGTTAATATTGGTTATTTTCTTTTGTTCTGTCTTCAAGTTTACTATTGCCTCTGCCATCTCCATTCTTTTATTGAGCCCATCCAATTTTTTTTTTAAAATGTCATATATTATTTTTAGTTTTACAATTATTTGTATTTGGTTCTTTTTATAGTTCCTATTTCTCTGCTGATAACTTTTTTCTCATGCCATTCAAGAGTTTTACCCCAAAGAGCATAGTTATAATAGTTGCTTAGTCCTTATCAGATATTTCAACATTGGAGTTACCCTGGAATTGATACCTGTTGATTTTGATTGATTGTTTTAGCAATCTACCTGGTAGAGTCTGACTCCCTGGTTCTATCTAGCCTTCTCTGGATGATGGTTCCAATGTTAGTTATGTTTTCAGAGTATTTGTGTTAGCACCCTGTATGTGCCACTCAGTGCATGTGCTAACTCAGTGGTTAGTCTTGAGACTTGAGTGGTGGTTGATATTGCAGTTCAGTTTTCAACATCTTTGTTAGACTTCTTTAGTTCTATTCTACAGATTGTTGTAAAGATTAGGACTTGTGTCTGTTTATACACAGAATTAGGGGACCTCCTTTCCAGTCTATCCTCCCCATGATTTCTTCTGTGACTCAGTCTTTCTTTGGGTCAAAATCAGGAGATAAAGATGGAAAATGAACTCAGGTAGCTCGCCAGGGTGCCAGTTATTCTTCAAATTTTTTATCTCCCTCCCTAGACTGCTTTTATCATTTAATTTTCAGAGTATTTAGGTACTTCTTTTTTTTTTAATATATTTTGTCCAAAGGTTTTAGTTGATGATTACAGGAGAAATAGGCTTATTCCATCTTGGCTGTTACCAGAAGTGCTATTTAATTTACTTCTCTAATTTTATCTTTTACTTTTCTGTGGAATCATAAATAGGCAGTGGTAAAATTTATTTTTTCCAGACCATCTTGCCATTGCTTAATTTTCGAACATCTTAGATGAGTACTCGGCAGACTTTTTCTGTAAAGGGCCAATTAGTAAATATTCTAGGCTTTTCAGGCATAGGAGCTCTGTCAACTGCTCAACTCTTCAGTGAGAAAGCAGCTATAGATTATATGGAAACAAATGGATGTGTCTGTGTTCCAGTAAAATTTTATTTGCAAAAACAGACAGCTAGATATGGACCATGGCCCATAGTTTACAGACCCTTCATTTAAGTCCTCTACACTTACTCTTTCCTGAAGCAGTGCTTGAAGAGTATTATTTCCTACTGAGCTTTGTATGTTGAAAATAATTTTTCCCATGACCACTTATATTTTTCTCCTACAGTTTATTCTTCTCTAAAGTAACTCAAAATTTAATTGAAATGAATGAAAAGAAAGGAATTCACAACAGTGCAGTTATATAAAATCTTCCCATCCTAACTTGCTTTGAATATATCCCCACAATAGATTTCTTCTGTGGCATTTTTGCCCGTCTCATAAATATTTGGAGACAGTCTTAACAAAAGTACATAGGTCATATGTTTAGTACATGTCCATCATAGTAAAGCTCTAAATATGAAATGAAACATACAGCTCTGAAATTCAAGGCTTCTCGAGGACAATCTAGAAACTATATTAATAATGTTCTTTTTCTAAATACCTTCTATGTGTCCATTATCCTTTTGTGTTTTTCAGTAAGTGTGGGTCTTGATAGATTATGAAGGGAAATGCCTAGAGTTGCATTTTTATTTGTTTTACTCTTGTTGTGGTACTCTTGAACTTTAGTTTTTGAACAATATTTTGCAGATGAATGGTCTTAAAATGGTTGATGAGCCAATGGAAGAAGGAAAAGCAGATTCTTGCCAAGTAAGTACATGTATTAACTTATTAAGCTACATTTTTAGAATGTAAGGAAAGAGAATAATGGGAAGGGAGAAAATCTCTTTCAATTAAAGAAATTTATTCAAGTTTATTAATAAGTAAATCTAATTAATAAAACGACAGCAGTGTAAAATATAAGATGGATTTTTCTCTCAGAAATTCTTATACACAAATTTTTTAAACAACTTTATTGAGGTATAATTTACATGCCATGAAATTTGCTCATTTTAAGTGTAATGGGTGAAATTTTTACTTTCCAGTATTTGAATAACTAGATTACTTAAATACAGAATCATCTGAAATAAACTTTCACTTATATGTGATCTCTAAAACAAACAAACAAACAAACAAACAAATGAACAAACAAAACAAAACAGAAGCAGACTCAGAAACAAATCAAACTGATGGTTCCCAGAGAAGGGGGATTGGAGGGGCTGTGTGAAAAAGGTGAAGGGGGATATAGTCAATAATATTTTGATAAATTTGCATAGTGACAGATGATTATTAGATTCAATGAGGTGATCACATTGTAAGGTATATAAATGTTGAGTCACTATATCGTGCATCTTAAACTAACATAGTATTGTATACCAACTATACTTGAAGAAATGCACGGAAAAATGAAAAATATAAGATTGTCTTTAACTTTAGGGTAGAAAGGAGATGTAACATGGAAATATTTAACTACAAGGATAACCTGAGGTCATTTAAAATCTATTTCCTAGCTTTCAAAAGGATTGCTTCTAAATTAATTCAGAAGTTTCTAACTAGTTTTAAAGACTGCTTAGCTATTAGGTCATTCTATGCAAGGCCTATATACTAGTCTCTCATTTTATAAGATCTAGTTTTACAGAAGAGTGTTCTTGATATTTTAGGGAAGGCCTGACTAAGGCAGACATATCCATTTATGTTATTTTATGATTGTCATTTCTATAGATATTTTCTTAGAATTATAGATTGTTTAAGCTGGAAGGAACCTCAGAAATAGTATTTACAATACCGTCATTGTATAGATAAGTCTACTGAGACCTGGAGAGGTTGTGATCTGTACTAGGTCATAAAACTAACAAGTAGCAGAATCATGACCTATGACCCAGTGTGCCTCATTTTAGGTCAGCTGTGTATTGTGCAGACCTAAAGAAGTGGGAAATAAGAGAAGCATCATCCTTTTCTTATTTAGTTGTGGGTAAAATCAACTTTGATGTCTGCCCTCCACCGAAACTAATTCATAAGTGGATTTTTCTCATATAGGCACCAGCAGAGATTTAAATTAGGTTTGTCCAAGATTCTCCTTTGAAATGTTCTATGTAAAAATCAACTGTCTCTGCAAGTAGTGATGATGTAACAATAATTTCAGTTCTGAGTAACAAGATGAGTGATAAAATATTTTAGCTATTATAATTTACTTAATATTACTTATATATTAATTTTGAGTATAGTTAAATATAAACTATCAAAATCATCTAGCATTTTATCTATAGATTATATGGACTAAAAGGCATAGTAATATTTATGTTTCTAGTTTATAAAAGATTGTAAGGAAATACAAGGCAGTAGGGAAGAATTTATTTCAGTATTAATGAATTGACAGGGAAATACCATGCCCCACATCACAGGAGGAAGAAAAATATGTATATATGTGTGCATATGTATATATTTGTACATGTGTGGCCAACATAAACACACAGACATATACATAGGGATATTATTAAATATTTACCTTTCTAATTTTAATAAAACATGAGTCAGAAAGTAAAACTTTAATAGAAAGACAGTAAAAATATACAGTGCTATATGCTAATATGATTTACATTATGCTTCAGTTGCTAAAAAAGGAAGTTTGAAGTTTTGGGGACCAGAGGACCTAGAGTCACTTCCAAGAATTTGATAGTTTGTGGCCTGAGTCATCTGGGCTTAAAACAATGTATTTCAACTGTGTGATAATTCAGGTACTTGTGTCGTTTAAATGATATGGGTGGTAAAAATACACTAACCATCTAAGTTTATCACCCCTGGAGTGGCTCCATAGTGTAGTGGTTATTATGTCTGCTTTACATGCAGAAGGTCCTGGGTTCACACCCCAGTGGAGCCACAGACCATACCCTGGGTGTGCCAGGACCCGGGTGCGCCAGGTCCCAGGTGCGTGCCTCGAGCGCGAAGGTGGAGATGCCCCACCTTCAGAGATCTAGTTCTTAAGGGGAGACTGCAACATCTGTAGGTTGGGGGTGGAAGTGGTGGGTGGTTAAAGAGGGTTAAAAAAAGATGATTACATATTGTAGAAGTTAGAACATACTATTTTGGTTGTGGTTGAGCCTTCATAGCTTTTCTTTTTATCAACAGTTGCTATGAAATTTAAAAAAAAAAAAAAAAAAAACCACCTCATAATTATCCTTACTTCAGATTTGTTATTTGATGTTGGAAAGAAAAGTGGTTCTTATTTTGAAGTTATTAAATCCTGTTTTCACAGTAGCAACTTACTTTACACAGATCAGCTATGATTAGGTACTGCATATAGATTTCCTAGGGCTGTCATAACAAAGTACCACAGACTTGGTGACTTAACAACAGATTTATTTCTCACAATTCTGGAGATTAGAAGTCCAAGATCAAAGTTTGTTTTTTTTTCTGAGGCTTCTCTTCTTGGCTTGTAGATGGCCATCATCTCCCTGTGTGCCTTCACATGATTTTTCTGTGTGTGTCTGTGTCTTAATTTCCTCTTTTTAGAGGAACACCAGTCATATTGGTTTAGGACCCACCCTAATGATGTCATTTTACTTTTATTACTTCTTTTAAAGCCCTGTTTCCAAACACAGTCACATTGTGTGGTACTGGGGGTTACAACTTCAGCATATGAATTTTGAGGGAACACGATTCAGTCCATAATATATTGTGTATTTTTGTGTCATTAAAGAATATGATATTTCTGACAAAATCTGGTATGCTCAAGTCCACATTTTACCTCTATATCCCTATTGTATAGCAGTGCCTGATGCATAGCATGTGCTTCATGAATGTTGTTGATTTGTTGAGTGAGTGAATAATTAAAGAGAAAATATTGTATATATGGGAAGATTAGGTGATATATCACATCTTTGTTGTACCAGAATAGGGGAAATTTTTTTTTTTAAATGAATTACTCTTAGAAAACAAATGGATCACTGGTAAGTACATTGCTACTTTATTTTGAGCTAAATTGCTGCCAGTGTCAAGTTTTTGGAATCATGCAGAACCAGAAGAAAGTGGGGTGGAGGAAGGGGGGGATGGTTACAGATGACTAAAAAATAACATTTTAATAGTAAACTTCCATAAATATAGTCTTGAGGAGGCTGAGGAATATTAGGTGATAGACAAGAATGAAGCAGGAAGCAAATGATATATGAAAGACCAATATTGGAAGTGATCACACAGGAGGGTATCACATAATTTGACAGTAAAAAAGAGCTAGTGGCAGACACACTATAAAAGACTTCTGTAATAAGTAGCTGTGTATGTGTATTTGTGTGCGTATTCATCTATATGTCTATATAACTATGTCTTAGAAGCACCTAACTAGTGTTTTCCAGTCCTGACCATGTATCAGAATCATCTGGGGGGATTTTAGCAGATATATCTGATTGAGCACCACCCTAGTTATACTGAACTATAATCTTTGAAGGTGGGACCCAGACATATGTATTAAATAAATAATTATTCTACATGTGACTTCTCTTTTAGTAATATAATAAGCATAGTTGTTTGCCTAAGAATATTTGTCTTTATTAGAAAAGGAAGATGGCTAGTCAGTAAGTTAATATGAGCATTTTTTTTTGAAGTATAGATTCTAAGGTCATTATGCCCTTCATTTGTGTTGAGTACAACACAGTATAATAAAAATACTGACCATGGATAATCTAGTAAAATATTTATAGTCTTTGCTCTAAGGAAAAATTCTTATTAAATTTAGAAATATTGTCATCACAGTCATTTCTATTAAAAATTGACACAATTCCATTATCCAGAATGAATCTTCTTTCAGTATTTCCTTTATATATTTAAAAAAAAGATCAGGATACATATTTTTCTGTTGTTTTAAAAAAGGTATTTTAAAATAATTTTGAGATTTCTTATTGGTTAATTTTACCTTTAAAAGCTATATATTTTTAGAAGTCTTCCTTTATCATTCAAAGTCAGATCTCCTTCCTTCACCATATATTTAACACAATGCAGTGTACAGTTGATATATTATTGAGCCGTACATTTGAAACCTGTATAATTTTATTAACCAACGTCACTCCAATAAATAAAAATATAAAAGTTTTTGTTTATTTTCTTTTTATGAAATTGGGTGGATTTCTTTGCCTATCTATACCTAAAAGATTAAACAAGTATTGTGCTAAGCATTATGAATACAGGGTTGAACGTGATAATACCTGCATTCAGGAAGCCCACAGTTTAGTTATTAGGATATATTGTAACACTATTCTATAGTGGCTATGTACTGGGAAAAGTAGTATTTTAAAATCTAGCAGCATTTTCATGTCGGAAATGTTTTAGAGTAATGCTGCTGAAAATTAAAAGACATATTTGCATTTTTATTTATTTTATTTTTTA